GTGTCGTTCAGGCTCTGTCAAGAAGAAGAAGAAGAAGAAGAAGGGGAAGGAGAAGAAGAAGAAGAAGAAGGGGAAGGAGAAGAAGAAGAAGGAGAAGAAGGAGAAGGAGAAGAAGAAGAAGGGGAAGGAGAAGAAGAAGAAGGGGAAGGAGAAGAAGAAGAAGGAGAAGAAGGAGAAGGAGAAGAATAAGAAGGGGAAGAAGAAGGAGAAGAAGAAGAAGAAGAAGAAGAAGAAGAAGGGGAAGGAGAAGAAGAAGAAGGAGAAGAATAAGAAGGGGAAGAAGAAGGAGAAGAAGAAGGAGAAGAAGAAGAAGGGGAAGGAGAAGAAGAAGAAGAAGAAGAAGAAGAAGGGGAAGGAGAAGAAGAAGAAGGAGAAGAAGAAGGGGAAGGAGAAGAAGAAGAAGGAGAAGAAGAAGAAGAAGAAGAAGGAGAAGGAGAAGAATAAGAAGGGGAAGAAGAAGGAGAAGAAGAAGAAGAAGGGGAAGGAGAAGAAGAAGAAGGAGAAGAATAAGAAGGGGAAGAAGAAGGAGAAGAAGAAGGAGAAGAAGAAGAAGAAGGGGAAGGAGAAGAAGAAGAAGGAGAAGAAGGGGAAGAAGAAGAAGAAGAAGAAGGGGAAGAAGAAGGAGAAGAATAAGAAGGAGAAAGCATCATTTATGCTGTGAGTTTGTTGTGTGTGTGTGTGTGTGTGTGTTGTTGAAATTTCCTTAATGATCCATGGAAACAGAGTTGCATTTTGTGTGGTTTAATGAAGTAAAAGTACATGATAATAAAAAGTATTTGCAGATGGAGAAAGCTTCTGCGGTCGCTCCTCGGTCGCTGCATCAGTCACACACAGTGGGATTCACACGAGCTTTATCAGGAAGAGCAGTCGCCGCAGCCGCTGCAGTCGCCGCAGTCGCTTCAGTCGCTGCAGTCGCTGCAGTCGCTGCAGTCGCTGCAGTCGCCTCAGTCGCTGCAGTCGCTTCAGTCGCTGCAGTCGCCGCAGTCGCCGCAGTCGCCTCAGTCGCTTCAGTCGCCTCAGTCGCTTCAGTCGCTGCAGTCGCTTCAGTCGCTGCAGTCGCCTCAGTCGCTGCAGTCGCCTCAGTCGCTGCAGTCGCCGCAGTCGCTTCAGTCGCCGCAGTCGCTGCAGTCGCTGCAGTCGCTGCAGTCGCTGCAGTCGCTTCAGTCGCTGCAGTCGCCGCAGTCGCCGCAGTCGCTGCAGTCGCCGCAGTCGCTTCAGTCGCCGCAGTCGCTGCAGTCGCTGCAGTCGCTGCAGTCGCTGCAGTCGCTTCAGTCGCTGCAGTCGCCGCAGCAGGAGTCGCCGCAGTCGCTTCAGTCGCTGCAGTCGCCGCAGTCGCTGCAGTCGCTTCAGTCGCTGCAATCGCTGCAGTCGCTGCAGTCGCTTCAGTCGCTTCAGTCGCTGCAGTCGCTGCAGTCGCTTCAGTCGCTGCAGTCGCCGCAGTCGCTGCAGTCGCTTCAGTCGCTGCAATCGCTGCAGTCGCGTCAGTCGCCGCAGTCGCCTCAGTCGCTTTCGGTCGCTGCAGTCGCTGCAGTCGCTGCAGTCGCCTCAGTCGCTGCAGTCGCCGCAGTCGCTTCAGTCGCCGCAGTCGCTGCAGTCGCTGCAGTCGCTGCAGTCGCTGCAGTCGCTTCAGTCGCTGCAGTCGCCGCAGTCGCCGCAGTCGCTTCAGTCGCTGCAGTCGCCGCAGTCGCTGCAGTCGCTTCAGTCGCTGCAATCGCTGCAGTCGCTGCAGTCGCTTCAGTCGCTTCAGTCGCTGCAGTCGCTGCAGTCGCTTCAGTCGCTGCAGTCGCCGCAGTCGCTGCAGTCGCTTCAGTCGCTGCAATCGCTGCAGTCGCGTCAGTCGCCGCAGTCGCCTCAGTCGCTTCGGTCGCTGCAGTCGCTGCAGTCGCTGCAGTTGCCTCAGTCGCCTTAGTCGACTTAAAATCCTGGTGTTGACCTTCAGAGCCTTGCATGGTCAGGGTCCCTCTTACATTAGAGACTTGTTGTGTCCTTATACCCCCTCTCGGAGGCTGAGGTCTCAGGATCAGAACCTTCTCATGGTCCCTCGTACCCGTTACAAGACGAGAGGAGATCGCTCCTTCCAGGTGGTCGCGCCGACGCTCTGGAATGATCTTCCGCTTTCCTTGCGCTTACTTGATTGTGTTGATGTTTTTAAGTGTAAACTGAAAACCTACTTGTTTGAAAAAGCATTTTAATTCCAGTGGGAAAGGGGTTGTTTTATGACCACCATGTTTTGTGATTGTAAATGTAAATGTACTTTTATTTATATTTGTATTTTTGTGAAGCACTTTGTGACCTTTGTCTGTGAAAGGTGCTATATAAATAAATATTACTTACTTACTTACTTACTTACTTAGTCGCTTCAGTCGCTGCAGTCGCGTCAGTCGCCGCAGTCGCTTCAGTCGCTGCAGTCGCTGCAGTCGCTGCAGTCGCTGCAGTTGCCTCAGTCGCCTTAGTCGCCTCAGTCGCTGCAGTCGCCTCAGTCGCTTCAGTCGCTGCAGTCGCCTCAGTCGCTGCAGTCGCCTCAGTCGCTTCAGTCGCTGCAGTCGCCTCAGTCGCTGCAGTCGCCTCAGTCGCTGCAGTTGCCTCAGTCGCTGCAGTCGCCTCAGTCGCTGCAGTCGCCTCAGTCGCTTCAGTCGCTGCAGTCGCCTCAGTCGCTTCAGTCGCTGCAGTCGCCTCAGTCGCTTCAGTCGCTGCAGTCGCCTCAGTCGCTGCAGTCGCCTCAGTCGCTGCAGTCGCCTCAGTCGCTGCAGTCGCCTCAGTCGCTGCAGTTGCCTCAGTCGCTGCAGTCGCCTCAGTCGCTGCAGTCGCCTCAGTCGCTGCAGTCGCCTCAGTCGCTGCAGTTGCTTCAGTCTCAGATGTTTCCAGAACATTCTCTCGTCACGGATCAGACTTTTACAAACGGGGTTTTTGGAAATTACATGTTTCCGTCTCTGCCGCCGAGGATCATGGGAAATACTGGTTTGACGACATTACAAGTCACAGCTTCATCTCAAACACCAAAGATCAGGTCACAGCAACCAGGTGGGACTGAACCAAGTGGGACTGAACAAAGTGGGACTGAACCAAGTGGGACTGAACCAAGTGGGGACTGAACCAAGTGGGACTGAACCAAGTGGGGACTGAACCAAGTGCGACTGAACCAGGTGGGACTGAACCAGGTGGGACTGAACCAAGTGGGACTGAACCAGACGGACTGAACCAAGTGGGACTGAACCAGGAGGGACTAAACCGAGTGGAGACTAAACCGAGTGGAGACTGAACCAGGTGGGACTGAACCAGGAGGGACTGAACCAGGAGGGACTGAACCAAGTGGGACTGAACCAGACGGACTGAACCAAGTGGGACTGAACCAGGAGGGACTAAACCGAGTGGGGACTGAACCAGGTGGTACTGAATCAGGTGGGACTGAACCAGGAGGGACTGAACCAAGTGGGACTGAACCAGACGGACTAAACCGAGTGGGGACTGAACGAGGAGGGACTGAACCAGGAGGGACTAAACCGAGTGGAGACTAAACCAGGTGGGACTGAACCAGGTAGGACTGAACCAGGAGGGACTGAACCAGGTGGGACTGAACCAAGTGGGACTGAACCAAGAGAGACAGAACCAATTCTCAGATCTGGATCAGACTGTACCTGGATCAGACCTGACCTGGGGCTGATAAACTGGATTAAGAACAACTAGACTGACTGGATTGTGTTTTGATACGTCCTGATAACAGCTGCATTTTGTTTGGAATGTTGTGACAAATATCAGTAAATAACAACAGAGTAAACCAGAGACCAGAGAGAGACCAGAGAGAGACCAGAGCAAGACCAGAGAGAGACCAGAGAGAGAGAGACCAGAGCGAGAGACCAGAGAGAGACCAGAGGGAGACTAGAGAGAGTCTAGATACCAGAGAGAGACAAGAGAGAGACCAGAGAGAAAGTCCAGAGAGAAAGACCAGCGAGAGACCAGAGAGAGACCAGAGAGAGAGACTAGAGAGAGACCAGACAGAGACCAGAGAGACCAGAGAGAGACAAGAGAGAGTCTAGAGAGAGAGACCAGAGAGAGACCAGAGAGAGACCAGAGAGAGAGACGAGAGACAGAGTAAACCAGAGAGTCTACCATGTTCCATGTGGATACAGAACTAAAAAAGGTCTCGTTATGATTCTCAAATCATTTCATTTCATTTCATTTCATTTTCAAGCCCTTTTTGTCCATTTCTGGGTCAGGGGGATGGCAATGAGAGCTGCCACCCAACGCTCATAGCACCAGTCCCTCACTGATCCTCTGCAGGGGGTGAGTCCACAGGAAGATCAGACCAGACCAGAGAGAGAGACCAAAGAGAGAGAGCAGAGAGAGACCAGAGAGAGAGAGCAGAGAGAGAGACCAGAAAGAGACCAGAGAGAGAGAGCAGAGAGAGAGACCAGAAAGAGACCAGAGAGAGACCAGAAAGAGAAACGAGAAAGAAACCACAGAGAGAGAGACCAGAGAGACACCAGAAAGAGACCTGAGAGAGAGACCAGAGAGAGACCAGAAAGAGACCTGAGAGAGAGACCAGAGAGAGACCAGAGAGAGACCAGAGAGAGACCAGAAAGAGACCGGAGAGAGGTGCTCCTCTCTGTCAGAGGACGATGATCTGTCTGTTCTGGAGGTTCTTTATGAATCCAGACTCTTAAACTGAGCTCTGACAATAATCACTGACTCTTCTGGGCCCTGGAAAAGCCATGTTCCAGCTTCTTCCCTCTGGCATCTGGATATGCTCACAGCTCCACAGGCTGTTATCAGTCTGAACAAAACACTGTCAACTTTTCACCTCGACAAATGATTCTTGTATGTTTTAGATGACTCATGACGCACAAATCCCCAAAACCATCAGAGTGTTTGCTTTGGCGTCCGGGACCAGCCTCGTGTTCTCTGATGTTGAATATCCTCAACACAGGTAACCAACACAAGACTTTGCAGAAGGTCAATCAATTCCATTTTTTTCGATGAAAATCTTTATTCATAGTGTGTTGAGAACAAATAACATAAGAATGATAAATGGAAATCAAATTCTCAGCTCCTGGAGCTGGATCCAAAATTATAGTCAAAATCAAAGTGACAAATCAGGTTGATCCAAATTCTGTAGAAACTCGGAACGAGTCTGTATCATCCTCAGTCGTGTGTGTGGCCTCCACGTGCCTGAGTGCACTCCCTTCAACGCCTGGGCATGCTCCTGGTGAGACCACGGAGGTCCTCCTGAGACATGATGTTACAGATGTGCTCTATTGGGTTTAAGTCTGGGCCAGGCCAGGCCAGGCCAGTCCAAAACATCAACACCTTCATCCTGCAGGAGCTGCTGACACACTCTAGTCACACGTGGCCTGGCATCATGCATCAGAAGGAACCCAGGGCCCACAGCACCAGCGTATGGTCTTACAAAAGGTCTGAGGCTCTCATCCCGGTACCCAATGCCAGTCAGGGAGCCTCTGGCGAGCCCATGGAGGGCTGTGCGGCCCTCCAATGAAAGGCCTCCCCAGACCATCACTGACCCACCACCAAACCGGTCATGCTGGATGATGTGGCAGCAGCAGAACGTTCTCCAGGGCGTCTCCAGACTCTGTCACGTCTGTCACATGTGCTCAGGCTGAACCTGCTCTCATCCGTGAAGAGCACGGGGCACAATCGGCCAATCGCTGTGTTCTCGGGGAAATGCCAATCAGGCTGCACGGTGTTGGGCAGTAAGCACCGGCCCAACTTGTGGACGTTGGGCCCTCATAGCACGGTCATGGACCCGGTTTCTGACCGTTTGAGTACCAACATGCACATTTGTGGCCCTGTGGAGGTCATTTTGTAGGGCTCGGGCAGTGCTTCTGTTTCTTTGTGCACAAATGAGCAGATAGCGGTCCTGCTGCTGGGTTGTTGACCTCGGCCCCCCCAGGTCTCCTGGTGTACTGGCCTGTCTCCTGGTATCTCCTCCATGCTCTGGACACTGCGCTGGGAGACACAGCAAACTTCCCACCTTGGATGAGCATCACTCCCTGAACAACTCCTGTGGGTTGTAGATGCCTCCTCATGACACCTCTGGTGGTGAGAACACTGGACAAATGCAAAAGTGTTCCAAAGTACGGTACAAAGGATGAAGACAGAGAAATGGTCTGTGGTCACCACCTGCAAAACCATTCCTCTTTTGCAGTGACCTTTTTAATTGCCTCTCATTTCCACCTGTTGTCCGTTTAATTTCCACAACATTAGGTGAAATTGATTCACAATTAGTGTGGCTTCCAAACTGGACGGTCTGATATCCAGACATTTGACTGACTTGGAGTTACATTGTGTTTAATGAGTGTGCCCTAAGTTTTTGTGAGCAAAACTCTCTCTTGAGCCTGGTCTTACCATGTGTAAACTCTGGTCCATGGTCATTTCCTACATGTACGTCTGGGTCTGATCCTAGTGGCTGCAGTTTCCTCGGTTGAATCCCCTCCGACCAATCAGAGAGCACAAGAGTTTGTGCTGAATTTGCTGGTTGTAGTTTGTCGGAGAATGCGATAGTAAAATAATCTGTTCTGGTTCAATCCAAATATCAAGAAACTGAAGCCGGAGCAAGAGGAATGTTTAGTAAATGTTATTGAAGCAAAGATGTTGTGGCTCTACTCCCCACGGGCTCCGTTAGTGACAAAGGAGATGCTAAATCTGGACCATCTCCACCGACTCCCGAGGTCTCTGCACCCCCACCGCCTCAAAAGAACTCCACACCTCCACGATTCAAGAAGAACTCAACACCTCCAAGGTTCCAAAAGAACTCAACACCTCCACGGCTTCGAAAGAGCTCAACGCCTCCACCCCCAGCATCATCAGCAGCTGCCACATCTTCATCAGCGCCATCAGCATATACAGCACCACCAGCAGCAGTGGATACAGCCGCAGCAGTGGCTGCTCCATCATCTTCAGCAGCAGCAGTGGATACAGCAGCAGCAGTGGCTGCTCCATCATCTTCAGCAGCAGCAGTGGATACAGCCGCAGCAGTGGCTGCTCCATCATCTTCAGCAGCAGCAGTGGATACAGCAGCAGCAGTGGCTGCTCCATCATCTTCAGCAGCAGCAGTGGCTGCTCCATCATCTTCAGCAGCAGCAGTGGATACAGCAGCAGCAGTGGCTGCTCCATCATCTTCAGCAGCACCTTCCCCACCTACAGCTCCCGTGAAGCTTCCCCCACTGCTCCAGGCTACAGTCAAGCCTGTACTGGGGGTTCCTCAACCACCTCTGTCTCCACCAAAGACTCCCTCATCACCTTCCATGGACCCGGCTTGGGTCCCCCCCGCTACATCCACTCCATCTAGGGAAAATGAGGACGACCTTTCCCTTTGTTTTCTATCCCCGCCTTCACTACTGGATTTACCGGAACACTCTGCAGGCATGATAAGATCGGCGATGAAGACTATTCCTCTCACACCCACTGTAGCCAGATCAAGAGTCCTATCTAACATTCAAAACTACTCCCCATACGTACCTCCAAAGCCACCTAGGGCGTCCAACTCAAATTCTCCCAGAAAATCCACCCGTCCCTCCTCTAACCCCATAAGTATTCCACCCCCCCCTCCTGCTCATTTAGCCCACCTCCCCCCTAACTCAGCACCAAGAAACCCTCCACCTCCACTCCCCCCTCGTCCACCACCCAACTCAGCCTGCCCCGCCCCGAACCCAGCACCAAAAACCCATCCACCTTCAACCCCTCCCCGTCCAACTCCCAAGAACCACCCACCTCTCCATCCTCCTCCCGCGCCTTCCCCTTCCCCTCTTTTCTCTAAACACTAGGATGCACAGGGTCTCTGCTTCGCAGCCACTGGCAGTCTAGTTAGAGGAGAGACCCGGCTGGGGCCCTGTCGTGAAGCCACCTGTGCCATTCC